ACAAAAAAACGGAATAGAAAAAAACCATGAATGATCATGCGGTAGATCTTGATTACAAAAAAAGAAAAAGAAAAGCAAAGTAGCTTATCCAAATACCATATTTGCATTGATGCTATTCTATGGTATTTGGAAATATATATATATATAGATATTATTCACAGCAAAGAAAGTTGTGTTTTTTTTTCTTGTCTTATGATTTTTAAATTCAAATGTATGTCAAATCAAAGTGCAATTGATAAAAATCATAACATTGTGTATATATGTGATTATTGATAGGAAGAAAAGAGATTTTAATTTGAATTATTATAGGTGCAGGAAAAAAAAATCAAGCATTATGATTTTCTTTTGTTATTTAAATACTTGTGATCATGGTGGTTAGTGGAAGGTTGAAGTGCTGTTTATGTGATGATTAGTGTACGATAATGAGCGTACATATCTCATGCGCTTACCGCCGTATAGGTGCTACCGGAGTAGATCGCTGTTTTTTTCTGTGATGATATATAAGGATTTTGCACATAGTTCAAGTAAAGGGGTTCTACGAAAAAGATGATATGAAAAAAACTAATCAAACTTACCGAGTTTCATCTTGATGAGCAGCATCAAGAACGTTAGCAGCGTAATCTAAATTACGCACTAAATCAGCTTTTCTTATAAGTATATTGCAATGAAGAGCAGCAATTATTGTTCGTAATCTACATGAGAAAAAAAAAACAATAGAAAAGAAAATGTAATGTAATACTTCGATTATTTGACATCAGTCTATGCTTTCATTGTTATAAATATACTTAAAACAATATGTAAGTAAGTTTGTTTTAAAAATAGAATATGACTCAACACAGATACTCAAGTGTCTTCCAAGAGATTTACTTGTTTGCACATTACATTATCTATTTTGCAATACATATAGGTCATAGATAATTACTCTCTTAGGTGAAGAAAAAATAGCATACCATATTCTAGTTTTAGAACAAAAACAAGAATCTAACATCTTTCGTCTTTTGTCAAAACCAATAGAAACAAAAACAGATCTTAGTATATCTTATATGGTTTAGATAAAGAATTACTTACCTATCACTACTGACTTGTAATGCTTCAAATGCATTTGCTGCTGGTAGATTATTCATATTAGATAAATTGTTAACATCGTGTTCAATAGTTTCATGCGAAATTCTTCCACTACTGATTCCACCATTATCAGTGCTATCACTCGATTTTGATTTGCTTGAGAAGATCGGTGACAGATTCTCTGATAATAACATTACGATATAATGATAGTAATATTACATATATATATCTGTCTGTGTGCGTGTGTAAATTTATATACAAGTCGATTATAATCAAGCGAAACAAATGTATATATGTACAATTCTTTTAGAAATTTTTCTACTTATGAGTGGTTAATTAGTAAACAAACATATATAGAAAAAGTTATTTACCCAAAAATGTCGTTGCTAGTTTTTTTTGTGATTCACATAAAAGAAACTCCTTTTTTGTAACAAGTTAGATTAACTAATGGACATATAAACGAAGAAAACAACTGACAACAGATACTGCGTACTATATGAGTACAGCAAGAAGGAATAGAAGATAGAAAACAACTCATCTTCGAATGCTAGATACCTAACATAGAGAAAGAGGAAAATAGGAAAAAACACACAGAAGATGTGTTAGACTACAGAAAATATGAGACTACTATGCTAATGTATATTCATATGTAAAGACATCATATGGATTTTATCTTTTGTCATAAATGTCATCGATGAGAAAGCAACATATTTCTTTTTTTTTTGAAAGGAACACAATAATTGATATTCACTATCTATATATTTTTTTTCTTTTGCTTTCTAATATCTAAACTTTTAGTTACTTCAATATTTTCATGAATGCTTACTTTTGAGTTTAAAGCAGAAAGTCATGAAATAAACCAGATATTGCCAAATGTTCTATGTTAATAATGAAAGAATACTCCAACTTTTTAGTTCTTCTTTTTCTTTTTCTTTTTCTTTTCTTGTTTCTATTGTTCTCTCATCTTTACTTTTTATCGACTCGAACAATTGTTTTTCTTTTTATATCTTTCCTAAAGTAAAATTAGTTGTTTTTTTTTTTATAACTTACCAGTTTCATGATTAACCATTGCTGCTGCTCTTGCAGCTGCTGTTTTGTTCGTTTTTGATGAATGCTGATGCTGATGCTGATGATGATGATGATGATGATGATGTCGTTTTGTGCTTGTTGTTCCTGACACTAAAAGAAAGAAAAGCGAATTCTTACATCTATGATGATTAAAAAGAGAAAAAGCGTAGAAGAGGAAAAAAAACTAAAAGAAAACAAATCACACCAGCAATCATTGTATCATCATTTAATTTAATAAAAAAATGACCACTATTGTTTTGATAAAATTCAACCTGAACCAAATTTTCACTGATTTGAAACATTTTTTTATGCAGTTTTCATTCCAGCAAACGTATAGATGTGCACACACACATACATGCTTTTTCTTTAAATGTCTATGTCTTTTACTTAAAAAAATGGATGTAAAAACCAGACTTCTTTATCTATTTGTCAATGGAATGCTTGAATCACTCTAACATTAGTCGGATGTTAATGAAATGAAATATACGTTCATCTTCATCAACATCGGAGTTTCTAAAAGCAAATAAAAGCAGTAATATCTATTGTAAATACACAAATGTGTCAAAAGCAAATGAAGGAAGACAAGAGAATATTCTCAATTATCAACCAAAACACCATCATCAGTCTTCATTTTTTTTTTCTCTCTCTGTCTCTATTTTTCTTTTCCGAAACAAATATTTATATCATCAACTTCCGATGAATTGATGCATTATCTGTTCAAAAATAATGATTTCAATCGGATTTGCCTTACGGCTAATTCTTCAATAAAATAACATACATACAACTAATTTTTAACGAATATAATGAATATACACGCAAATTGATCTAGGTAAAAATCTAATTAGGACAATTTTTGTTTATCAATGAACTTAGTCGTTCGCAAGAAATCTTGAGTTTCTTTTTCTTCCTTGTTTCTTTTCTTTTATTTCTGTATTCATGAGTTTTTCTCTGTATAAAAATTGACCTTGTATAATATATTGCTTTTTTTCACATTAGAGTCGTCATAGAAGACTCTATTAGTCGGTCTATACACGTGGTCGATAATTGATTATTTGACAATAATGATAGATTGATCGCTTTAATGCACGAATAGCAGCCAAAGCGTATGTCAAATTACAACCATGATGACAACAAACAACTACGCCCTTCATTTTTCCATTCTAACATCGTCTGTTATCAGACATATGACTCATTAACATCTCATTTTTAGACTTGTTAACATACAACGAAAAAAAGCACATAACAACTGTCAGTTCTTTAGGTTCTTTTTCATCTCAGTTTTCGATATTTTTTTGGTAATTCATTTAGACTTTCTAGTGTGTTACGGACATTTTATGATCATGACAGCTGACGGTGAATTACGTCAATTTTTTAAGAATATTCGAAGCGTGACCTCCGGCATTTTTCTTTGTATGCTAGAAAAAAGTCTGTCTCCGACAAGCTGTTATAAAGCGTAAATAATTGTCGCCCTTGGTCTTTAAATTGAGTTACCTTATAAATGCAACTAGTTAGCTTTGCGATATTTCAAAGTGAACTTCAAAATATATATATGAACATCATCTCAATATAACATTGAGATTCTTTATCAAATGAAAAGCATATAATTATTAAGAAGATATATAATCTACTATTTTTACCTTTCATAGTTTTTGTTGCTGGATTTGTGAGTGAAGTACCAATAATATATAAAGATGAATATGAAGTCACACGAATTTTTCGTCCAGGCATTTTTGATAAATATATACGAACTATATATAGTAATGAATGTTTCGTGTTTCTATATGAATAAATAACATGTATAATTGTAGGCCTCTTGAAACAAATGGAGCTTACAGTTAAATTTATACAGATAATGATGATCAGTAACAGATAGGAAGACTAGAGTAGGCGGTACTATCGCACCGCTTTGTGAGAACTATTATCTATTTTCTATTTCACTGAAATGATGTTCAACTAAGATTTGTATGGCAGTCATAATGTTGATCATGCGAAAAGGATTCCATAAGAGAAAGAGAGAAAGAAGTAGAACGAGAAAATATAATTTGTGTGCTCATCAGCATTCTCGTTGCAGTAGAAGCGTCAACGTCGGTTACCTGTGTTATTCGACGGCTGTTGTTTTACTATGGAGGCGTTCATGCGTTCGCCTTTTCTTATGCTCATGAAAGTAAGAGAAACATGTTAATTATGAAAGAAAAATTGAAGAAAAAAAAAGAGACCCAAACGTAACAAAAAAAAGAAAAACCAAGAAAACTCACGATGCATGGAAAATGGATGTAGGGCACGATACATGGATCGTAAAAAATAGAAAAAAACTAGTGACCGTCCGTGCGCATAGAAATGCAAACAGGATTTTCCATCTCCTTTTTCTATTTTTTTTCCAAGAATATGCACGTTCATACTATTATTTTGTTTAATGATGACATTAGCCCAAAAAAAGAAAAAAAAAACAAAGCGGAATAGGTTTGTTCATACGACCAGAAAATCGTATTTTTTATGCATGTGAGAAAAAAAGTGACAAATTTTATCATAATGATGACAATAATATTATTCATTTATTTTGTTTTTTTCTTCATACAAATCTCAAAAATAGGCAAAAGAAATGTGTTGAGCTTTCAAAAAGAAAGAAGAAAAGCCAGTACAAACACACACACAAGAAAACATGTTGCATAATAACAACAACAATAGCAAAAAACAACAAACTACACATGCATTGAAAAGAAAAAACAAAACTGAGCTAGGACAGCACCAGCAGATATATATGTATATATATATATATACGTGTGTGTGCAGATATTTTCGTCAAATGGACGGCATAAAAACATATAGAAATCAATCAAGGACTATACACATAGACAAATTGTTAAATGCTAAGATTCCGCACTTGTTGATAGAGATGAATATGCTCGAGTATTTTTTGCTGTTTCTTTAGCTAATGACTGTTCATATTTAAATAATTCTGCAAGTGTAACGTCATTTGGTAAATAGTTTGAATTAGGTGAATAACGTGATGCAGCCATATTCGCTCGTGCTAATCGTATTGATGCTTCACTACAAAAATATAAAAAGAATAGTTTATCATTAGATTTTGTTTTTTCCTTAAAAAAATCTCATGCTAGTGAGCATATTTTATTTATTCATTCATTCATTCATTCATTTATTCATTCATTTGTTCATGCAAATATGAAGAGAGTGGATAATCAATTACCTGTTGAGAGATTAAGTACTGAAAAATTTTATTATATAGCGAATTTGTATTTAAAAAAAAGTAAAAAAAAAATTAATATTATTATTTACCTTGATAATAAACTTTCTCGTGCACGTTCAAATTGTGATGCTGATTCATTATGAAGTTCTTGTGAATCTTTAACTAATTTATCTGTTTCATCTAATATAGCTTGTTGACTTTTACTTAGACCTTGTAAACCAGATAAATTACCATTTGGTGTTACATATGATGTTGTTCTATAACGTGGATAATCATAACGTTGATCATTTGATGTTGTTATTGTTGATGGATAACGTGGTGTTGGACGATAAACAGTTCTATATGTGTCGGATGATTGATATTGTTGAGGAAGACGTGGTGAACGAGGATAACGTGGTGGAAGACCAATTGTTTGATTTGATGGTGTTGATGTTAAAAATGATATATCCAGTAAATGTGGATGACTGGATATACTATCTTGTAAAGGCATATTAGATAGATTTTCAGCACTTGTACTTAAAAATGATTTTGAATGTTTAACATTATCAACACGTGGCATATATTCAAGTGTTGAATAATGTGATGTATTTTGTTCAAGTGTAGATTTTTTTAATTCTAATTCATCTATTTTCATATCTAATTGCTTTTTTGAATTTTCTAAACGTTCACGATAAACAGCCAAACGTTGACGTGTTAATTCTGCCATATCTTCTTCATATTGATGCATTATTAATTTAACTCTTTCACTATCAATTGGATTAGTATCAAATGATAATGAACGAAGTAATGCATCTTTAAAAACAAACAAACAAAAACAGAAAATATTTGAGTACATTGCAGTTTTTCGATATGATTAGTATAGAAAATAGGAAATAGACCTAAACAATGTTTGAATAGAAATGGTTCTATTATATTTAATGTATATGTAATATGGAAAAAAATTCCGAATGAATTTATTTAATATTAAGGAAAATACATGTACAATTCAATTTAGATTAATTCATTGATTAAATTAGCTTTACTTATTCAGTTTGAGAAATAAGTAGTTAACAACAATCTATAATACATTTAGATTTGCTTGTTATATTTTACTAAGTGAAAGTATACTTGAGAAAAGAAAAACAAATTTTCTAGAATATTGTAATCTTATATCTAATTATAAACATTTGAGCTAAATTGAATGACTTATTGAAGAATGATAGAGTAAACAATTTTCAAATCATTATTGTACGAAATGATTACGATGCCCTTTTTTTTTCAAAAGAGTTCTTGTGTTTTCTTCTTCAAAACGAAGCTAATAAGAAAAAAGTTTTCTTTTCTCACATGATGCCTATGTTAATAAATTTATTATAAGAAGAGCTAAGGTCGAATTTGTGTCATTGTATAAAAAGAAATACAATTTAGATTAAGTGTATAATTTGCTAGAACATTAAACGACATATAATCTGGATTATCTAAATGTTTTTTCTTTTGTTTTGTCCTAATGGAAAAAATTTCCTTTTTCTTCAAATATGTCATCCAATAAAAAAAACAATGTTTTATGGTAATTTGTTTCTCATGACTTAGTTTGGGTAATGAAGTATCTAGGTCAAATTTGATATGCAATCCTTAGAAAAATAAACACAATAGGACAAAAAAAAAAGTTTTATGCGCATTAGTCAGTAGAAATAAAAGTTATAATTAAAATCTTATCATGTCGAAACGTTGCAATATATTGGTCTAGTTGATCAAAGTCATTTGTTTAGCGATGTCATTTCGAAAAATCAGAACATCTATGTCTCAGAATAATTTACTGTCCTACAGTTCTTCTTCATAATCTCCAGAAAAAAAAACGATTTTCATAAGAAATTGTTTTTTTTAGATCCTATCTAACTGAAAATTGTATCATAGATGTATAATCATATCATAGAGTCTATCATGAATTCTTCAAATTCTTTTTCTCTTATGATTAGGAGATGTATTCTCTAATTGCTTTTTAATTACTAGTCATCTGAAAGAACGAACATTTTTGTATATGTTTATTCTAAAAAGACTAAACAACCCTTGTAAAAAAATCAAAGACAAATGAAAGGTCATAATGTTCCATTTTGTATGTAATGGTTCATATATGCCGGATGTCACTTAAGTTTTGTGACACTTAATCACAATAGCTTAAGAAAACTTGTCTCGAAAAAATTTATTGACAAGAAATCACTACTAATATAATTTTTGATGTAAAAGAAAGTCGCTATAAAAATTTCGTTTTGTGATCTCAGTAGTATATTCAATTGTGCATCTTTCTTTTGAATAAAAAAAGAAAACATCAATGTTGAAGAAATGGACATGCAAAACTTTTGTCTCACTAAGTTTCTTAGAAAAATTTTTTTTAAATTTCTACCTGTTTCTCCAATAATATAATTTAATTTAGCTTCAGTTAATTCAACCCATATATTTGATCGACTCCAATTTAATGAAAGTAACTCAAGTATATGTGCTCGTTCACGACGTAATTGTAAAATTTGTTGTTCAATTTCTTTAGCTGATTTTATTGATTGTTCTAAATGTTTATTATTTATTGATGAATGTTGTCGATTTTTATTTGAATTTGGAGCTGTTATTATTAATTCACTATGATGTTCATACATATCATCATTTATGGATGATTTTATACGATTAAATGGACGTCGTGTTACTTCAGATACATCTTCACTATCCGACGATGAACCTTTTATATCAACTTGTAAAGCAAAATTTGCTTTATTACGACGATTACGTAATAACTAAAGAATACAAAATATAGAAAAGCATAGAGAAAAAAAAACAATAACAAACCTGTTCGTCAACAAGAATTCCTGAATCAGCACTACGTTCAAGTGTTGTTAAACGTGTATTCATTATTGTTTGATTATTATTATTATTATTATTATCACTTGTTGGTAAATAATAATGATCATCTGTATATTGTGTTATTGTTAATGCTGATGCATGATTATTATTATTACTATCATTTAATTTTCTAATAAAATCTTTTCCTGTATGAATACTTTGTTGATGATCAGATGATGCTATTGATAATGATGGTGAAATTGTTTGAATATGTGTTTGAATACCTGAATCATCAAATGTTTGATTTATATCATGGATTGTTTGTATACCATCATATGTTAATAAAAAATTAGGTATTTCATATGATGATACTTGTGTTGATGTTGTAGAATTATTAACATAACATTGTAAACCAAAATCATGTTGAATAGGTGGACTATATTGACATGAACGATCGATTTTTTCTTGATGTTGTCCTATTGGTGATGTACTTGATGTTTTATAAGTTTTATTATCAATTAATATAGGTGATAATGCCATATCACGTGTTGTTTTTGGTGTATGTTTAATTGGTGTTGGTGTTGTTGATGATTCATCATTCCAATTATAATCAGATGGTATTTCAATATGTTCACTTGTACGATATTTAATATCATGTGATGGTGCTATACGCATTTGAACGAGATTTGGTTCAATTGTTGAAATAAATGTTTGAACTTGATTTGATGGTTCAATATGTTTTGTTGCTTTATATGCATGTAATGATGGACTACGCCATGTTGTACTACTACCATCAATTATTGTATGATCTTGCCATGTATCAATTATTTCAATTTTATCTTTTTTATTTGTTGGTGTTGGTGTATGAGAAGTATCAAGAAGATATTCTTCATGTTGATCTAAAACAACATGACGTAAACGTGATGATGATGTTGAATTGAAATTATTATTAGTATTATCGAAAATATTTCTTGTTATTGATTGATTTAAAGGTTTTTCTTGAGAAGATTTTAAAGAATTATTTGTATAAACTGAACCTTGTGTTATAACAATTGATTCACATATCGAATTAAGCATTGTTGATGGACCATCAATATCAATGGATACCATATCCGACTGAAAAACAAAAATAGAATTATTTTTTAAAATATGATTGAAATGATAATCAAATCTTGAATAAGTCTAACTTTAACAAGGATTATCCAATAGTTTACTGGATAGAATGTTAGTTTGAAAGTAATGGATTATGAATATAAATTAAGGATGAGATTAAAAAGAATACCCTCACATACTCTGAACATTAAAACACATAGAATACAAAAATGTAAAAACTGGACGTAGCCACTGGATGTAAGGATATCTTCAAGGTTAGACGAAAACCGTACAAAAAAAATAGAATCGCAGTTTCATAAATTTTACGCTAACGAGAGACGACCTTTGAATGCGACCCATCAATCGAACTGAAGTTTTACTCATAAGTAGGCCTTGATAAGACTAGTCGAAGTCTATAAAAGTTTGCCCCTAGTTATCACAATAGTGGTAGATCTCAAGGACGTAACAATGTTTCGGGAACTTCAGCCTAAAGACATATGATCTTCTTGATATATTAAATATTCAAATACAACATGTCATAAGGAAAAGTAAGAAATCTCAGTGTTTTCAACAATCGACGTCTCAAGGATAGAACATCCTTCTGAACTGCAATTTTCAAAACTTCTAACATCCATTAGATCTACCTATAAGCAAAATTTCTTAATACGACTTTTTCAAACCTGCCTTCCTATAGATAAAAAAAAATAGATATAATTGTAAGAACTTGAAACTATAGAGACGAACTCTTATCGATTTCTACGAAGTCTCATTCGAATATACTGATTAGCAAAATAAGTTGTACCATACGATTCTTGAAAGCTCTTACTATCTTGTAACATTATAGGACATCTTATAGTATAACTTAGTATAATATTTATGAGACTATTATTTATCTGTTTTGTTGTATGACTTTATCTGATTTCTCTCAAATTTTTCACATCAACTCATATGATCAATATCAATTGAATATTGAAGATGATATCTAATAAAATAGTTTAAAAAAAAATCAATCATCCGAAACTTGTTCTCAAATTCAATTACAGAAGTCATCACTTGTAAATCTTTATTGTTCATTGACTTGTCAAATTATCATCACACTATATTAATCTATTGATTTGTCTTATCCCAAAATAATCATCTAAATTTTAGACGTAAAATAGATTTTTTTTTTTTTTTATCAAACGAAATATTATCATAATGCATTGAATATCAATATCATATACTATTGATAAATATCTCAAAATGAAAAGAAATAATTAATTTTCTTTCATTACTGATGTTTTCTTATAGAAAATTCTTTATCATACAGAAACTAGACAGGTAATAAGATAATTCTTAATACGGAATCCAACCAAGATCATATAATATACTAGTAACAGAGTGTCTAATAACAAGTAATCTAGTACACGAGTATCTTGAACTCGTTATATTCACTCGAATTTTGATTTTCGTTTGTTTTCTATGTTCGTAATTGAAACTGTTTTGTGTACAATATTCATATTACGTGAATATCTTCATTCGATTTTGTTTGTACTTAGTATGTCAGAGCCTAAAGAGCTAGTAAAATGGCTATAACTTCGGAATGAAGATCTAAGAATATTGATTCTTTTTTAATCATCTATATTTCATTGAAATCAACTTTATTCATCAAGTAGGTACTCAAAAACGACAGATCATTTCAAATGATTCCTTCGTTTCTATAGTCAAAAGCTTCAACAGAAAAATTCGTTTTTAAAATAATTTTTCTATAAACTAAATCAAACATTATAAAAATACTTTCATTTCTCCGAAACATGCATGGTTTCAAATTATTTATTATGAAAAAATTCTCAAGGTTTCATTAAATATGCCTTCTTGATTTCATTTTTTTTTCTTATTCTCATCAAATCTATTTATTCAACATCGTAAATAAATATTTGTAAAAAAGAAAGAAAAAAAGAAAAAAAGAACTACAAACCTCATCAAAATGTTGAGGATTAGTACCAATAATAGGTACTTCTATATCATCGGATGTACGTTCAAATTTTTTATCTTCTTGTATTGTATTATAACCGTTTGTATATAAAATTGAACTAAAAGCTTGATTTAAAATTTTTCGACCTTTATATGGTAAACGAACATGTGGATCACGTGCCATAATATCAGGTCCAGCTTGAATACGTTTTGTTAATATAACACGTTGATCTGTACCTTGTCGGTCAACATAACCAATTTTAAAACCTTTGCCTTGTTTAACTATTTCAAGATCCGATACTTTATCAATACGATGCGTTTGATAACGATTTGAATGTACAGGTAATATATCACTTATTCGTCTTGTCATTGATGATGATGGTGGTAGTAGTGGTGGTGGTGGTGGTGATGAAATAACAGGAGGTGAAGGAGGAGAAGGTGATGGTGATTTTATTTTATATTCAGCTAGATTTTGTTCAAGATTCGAAATAAGATTTGATGATATTGGAATATTATTATCAATAATCATTGGTGATAAACTTTGTTCATCATATTCTTGAATATCTTCTTCAATATCGAGTTCAAGATGTGTTGGTCGTTGTGGACGTGAAAGAAGTTTTTTCATAGATATTTGATTTAATTCCATTATAATTGTTTGTAAATTTGATATAGGTGGTGAATGATGATAATCAACAATTTTTGTTAAATATTGATTATTTTTTTCTGCATGTATATCTTCAATAATTGTACAAAGTGATGAAATAGATTTTTCTTGGTTGATTTTTTGTATATCATTAACAATAGTTGTAAGTTGATCAATATTTAATGATGATGATGACAGTAAATTTTCATTTTGTTCATTACTTTCTTGTTCCAATGGTGGTGTATGATCAAGTGAATCATTTTCAAAATGATTTTCTCGTTCACCTAATTCAGCTAATTCATCAGCTAATGTTTTTTTAGGTGGACTTGATATATTTGATGAATCTAAACGTGCTAAACGATATGCTAATTCATTTGGATCAAGATGTGTATCATGTATAGATGATATTGATGTACGTGTTGAATTTGTTGATTTATTTTCATATTGATTATTATCCATATTTTCAATATAATCTTCGTGTATTGAAAAATTTATTAAATTATTATTTATATTTATTGTTGTTGCTGTTGTTATTGTTGTTGTTTGTTCAATAAAATTATTTTCTTCAGATTCATTTACAATTATTGTTGGTTCAATTTCATCAATTGTAAAGAGTTGTGATTGTTCAAGTGATGGTATAGATACAATTGATGTTAAATTATCTGTATATGTTGTAAATAAATTTTCTTCATCATTATTATTATGTTTAATTGATAGATCATTAGAATAAATTGGTTCATTTATTGATCGTTCCCATGCATCATGATCAATATCAGAAAAATTTGAAGGTTGTAGTTGCTAAAATATAAATATAATGAATTGATGTTAGAAGAAAAGAAGAAAACGAACAGATGGATATAATACTAAAGAAATGTGTATTTAATGGTTTATCAATTGTCTTATGATGAATGTATTTAAGTGATGTTTGACATTGAATTTAGGTATAATGTGAAAAAAGAATATTGAATCGAAAAGGCAAAGACAAAAAAAAAAGAGAAAAATGGAGATTTTAGCAATATGATGCAAAAGCAAAATCTTTTCTTTGTTCTTAACGGACAAGATGTAATTTATTGTGAAAATTGAATATAGTATGAAAATGTTTGTGAATGTATTTTGGTTTGAACTTAAGAATAATTCTTTTATAGACAAATCGATAAATAGTACTTCAATTAAAAAAAAAAAAAAGTGAAATATATCAGCTTCTATTCACTTGAATAGATTGATTTTTTTGTTAGTAATAGAAACTTGAATTTGTTTTTATTTGTGTACAAATAACGTAAAAAGAAAAAGTAGTCAAAGTAAGAAAAATACATATGAACCGCTTCATAAATTTCAATTGTTATATAATGAGGAAAATTTCTCGAATGAAAAATTAATTTTGTGTTAAAACTATAGGCATATTACATAGAATCAAATGAGCTATGAATACGTTCAAAACATTTCAAGCTCTTAGCTTATTGCTGCGAAGGTATTGCAATTTTACAGTAGATTTACAATGAATACCATGATCTCCCTAAGGAAAATTGATTTTCAAATTTCGACTTGAAACTTGGCATAAAGATAGAAATTAATGAGAATAGGTTTTTTTTTGTGAATGTTTTAGATCTCTTCGTTGTTCTTATCATAGGATATATCTTTGACGAAAGTATGTCTTTTATATCGTTGATATCAAAAGTTTAAAGCAGTTTTCTTGTTCATGATAATAGTTAGAAAATATCTGACAAAGCATTTGAGTAACTGACAGAATTCTTTATGACAATTTGTTCATTTAAAATCCACAATACAACTTCTGAAATGAAGTTGTCCTAGAAAACCAAGAACCTTCAAAACCATTTTTTTAAGGCTTTTGAAAATGGTTTTAGTTCATAGAACAGAATGAGATGTTTCAGTTGCCGTCATGACCTTCCTTTATTGAACTGCATTTAATTTACAGAAGACTAAAGAAATATTTTCTTGTGCTTTTATGAAGAATTTTAATGATTTCGTCGTGTTTGATGTTTTGTAACCTTGTATAAATTAAATGAAGTTTGATAAAGCAAGGTCATGATGAAAGTCAAGATAACTCATTTTGTTCTATCAAATAAAACTATTTTCAAAAGTCTTCAAATAAATATCAATTGGCCAATGCAAAATTTTTATATTCGTTAACTTGTAAACTGACTGCTTGTAACAACTTGTTGTATTATGTTTGCATCAATATAATACTCTTTGATATCTGCTTCTTATTCTTTTTGATGACAATCGAAATTTACTGTATGAGAACTGTTTATATGTATTTTACTTATTTGATAACAGGTAAAATTGCTTTCATGATACGAACAATAAAACCTCATAGTAGTAATTTTATTTCAAAAAAAAAAAAGAACTCAACTCACTCTATTAAAATAACGCATAGGTATTTCAGGGTTTTTTTTATCTTACTACTATTTATGGCCTATTGTAGAAATCTTAAATAAATCAAATTCTTTTTTTTTCTTTTATAATTCATACAAACATTTAAAAAGTCTTAACATTTTTGCTTACTTGATTACGTTCTGATGGTGTTGATGAACGACTTTGTATAGGTGATAATGGTTTTGATGGTGATGATGAAATATTTGATTCAATTTCTCCTCTATCGTCTTCTTCCTCTTCCTCTTCCTCGTCTTCTGTATTATCAACTTGTAATATATTTTCTTGATTAATACCAATTGTATTTTTTATATTGTCATGTAAATCAATAATGTCATCACTATCATCAATACTTGATGCATATTGACTTTCTCTCGAACTTGGTATTGTTGATAATGAATGTGGTCTATAGTCAGCTAAAATAGCTTGTATATCTCTTGGTTGTACGACAGCAGCAGCAAGTGCAGCTGTTGCCTCGTCATCATCAAAACCCAAGGACATACACAATTGTTTATCTTCATCACCAAATATTTGATTTATTGGTAAATTTATATTAGGTAAATAACTAGAAATATCATTCATTGGTTCAAGATCATATTCATCATCATTATTATTATGATTTTGATTTTCTAATTGTTGTGTAAAATGAAATATATAATTTAATGGTTCTTTTATAACAGGTGATGTTATTTGATTTATTATTATTGGTGAATATGGTTCATCAGTAAGATGATTATCTTGTTCATTTGATTGTATACTATCATTATCAATATCCATTAAATTATTTTCTGTATCAGATTGTATTGATGATATTGGACCAATACGATCAATAAATGGTTCTGATATAGCAGCACCTTGTAAAAGACCAATATTAGCTGAATCATTTTTAGTTTTTTCTATTCCTGTTCCTGTTGTTGTTAATGTTGATAATTTTGGTAATGATGTTATATCAAATGATTTTGATTTTTTTTTAATAAATTTTTCTTGAGGATTTTCATTTGTTGTGGAAAAAATATCACCATGACTACGAGATTTTTCTAATAATGTATTATGTGTACATGAATTTGATAAGCCAATAATATGACGTAATTTATATTCACCTAATTCAACATCATCTTTATCACTGAATGCAAGATCAAGTAATGAAAGCCACATTTGTTCAAGAGTGTCACGTGTGATATCTAAACATGCATAAGCATCTAATGTTGTTAAAGAATATGAACGTTGACGTTGTGTTTCACGTATTGTTAATGTATTTATATTAGGACATGAATATGATGGTTGAAGAGTTTGTAATGATAAATAAAATTCATCATCATCACCTATTGTTTGATTTTGATGAAATATACGAGAATCAGATGCTTCTTTATTATCATTAATTATAGTTGATGATTTTCGTATTGTATTTGTTGGTGATGTGACATCTTGTAACCATTCACAATGATATTTTTCAGCTAAATGTATAGCAGCTGAACTACCAAATGCAGGATAATACATACCTTGAAATAGAAAAAAAAAATAAATTAATCAATAAAAATTTCGTATTATTTGTTTAGTTCTTTATATTACATACCTGTTTGTTTTTCTTTTGGTATTAATTGTTCTGATGAACTTGATGATATTGTTCGTTCAACATGTTCAGTTAAATTAGATGGTTTTATTATTTGTGATTGATCATTAATACAAATCATTGTTGACGTATTTTTAGGAACATTTTCATCATCATTATTATGTTCACATAACATTTCATTCTTATCAATATTGTTATTATTTGCATTATCCTGAATTTCATTATTGTCAACTGCTAGAATAAAAATAAATAAATATGCATATTAGGATCGGACATTAGGAACAAAAAAATAACAAAAAAAGAAAGAGTTCGAAAGAGAAGAAAAAAAAAGAAATGCATACTTATTCTTTTGCTTCTTTTATTCTAATGAAATAAAAACCATCATATCAGTGTGTACTGACACGAAAAGAAATGTCTCTATACCTTTTGTGGTATTCTCTCTCTTTTTTGCGCTCTCTTTCATTTCCTCGCGTGGCATGCCCATGTTTCATATCTAATTTTTAATATGTTTATATACCATACATACATATATATACATATTAAGTTCATTCTGTCGACATCGTCAACACGCACAAACTTCATTAGACTGTCACTATACATGAGGCGAATGTATGAGACGAAATTGTACATTAATATAAAAAGAAAGATCGATTGAGCGAGTTGAACTTTATCGAAGGGTGAGACATGATGGAGGATTAGTTAACAACCTCAATCGATTCAGATTGAAAGTGAATGAGACATAGAAGATGGACACTATCTTTACATATGTCGGATGATCGAACGAGACAAAGAATGAAAGAAAAAGCAAAAGAAATGAGAAAATACTCAAGGATAATTGAACTTGAATGAAATTATTCAAATATCATATTACGAATCACCAGAATATCATAGTATTATTTATTATATTAGAGATAATATTGTAAAAGTTTATTCAACACACAATCGACTTAGATGGCAGTCAATAAGTGCACAAACGACTAAGAGCTATTCTGATGATCTCTTTCGCTATTTTATACACAATCTGCATAACAGCATATATAGCCTTTAGTATGTACGAAATAATTTTGAACCATTTGCGAAAAAAAAAGAGGTTCAATGGACACACCCTATGCGTATTATTTTTTTCTATTAGAACGAAAGAAATAGTAAAAAATAAGAGCAATCAATTTCATACATATTACATAATCATAACTATTTAAAAAAGAATGCATAGTTTTCAATCGTATTTTATATTCAATTAAATTGTTTTATATAGAAAAGAAAAAACAATTAGATTTAACTGATATTTACTTTTATCATATTGAACTGATAACGATGATAATGATATTTGTTGTTCTTGTTGTTCATCATCAACATCATCGTCATCATCATGATCATAATTATTTCTAATGATAGATTGTTTCGTTTGTATCCAATTTAAATTATCATCGGATAAACCAAGTGCCGAATCTTTTGAAGGAAATGCTGATAATGATAATTGATTTGTACTTGATAAATCATCTGTTGATGATGCTGCTGTATTTATATTGTTCATTATATGATGATCAGCTTGAAGTAATGAATCATGACTATTCGTATGTTGATTTTGTGGTGTTTGACAATAGAGAAATTCTTCATCGAATGAAAATGATGATGATTCATCTGGTATTACCACTTGTATAAGTGGGCTGTCGTTTTTGTTGTCATCGTCGACTCCAATTTCAGTTTGTTTTTCATCGTCAATATGTTCTGTTTCTTCTACCGTTCCCACGTCATCAATAATATTATTTGTGGTTGTAGTTGTTAAATTCGAAAACGAAAAATTTTCATCGTCTATATGAATTTGATCGGTATTAGAGGGAGTCGTACTACTTGTTGTATGATGATGAAGATAGTTATTTTGCATTGTTTCCTTGTTAATCACCTCTAGAAAGACAAAAACACATATATACACAATAGGTTGTCGTCTTACAATGGTCAGCCTATTTAAGTAGATAGATGTATGTGTGTATATGTGTGCATTTTCAAGTGTTCTGTCGACGCCCCGGTCATCTTCATCTAATAGACTATTGTTCAAGCATTTTAGCATGGTTTACTTTGTGTCTATTTTGACTATTGTCAGACAATAAGAGCACGAAAAAAAAAAAAGAATATGTTGAACAGGTAAAGCCGACGCTCATCATTAAATGAGAACAGTATAGGCAGTCGGCCCGTGCTCTTTGATTGAAAACAACGATCGAGTATCCACATATTTTATTCAACAATATGCGCACATTAAATCGATTATGATGAGTTTATGTGTAGGCGTATTAAATACTATATACTCTTTTTCTTTTCTGTTTCATTTTTCCATTCTTTCTGAAGAAAATTTGAGACCAAAACAAAAGAAAAACAACGCTTTCTTTAATCCGAGTTTTTTCCCTCTCTTACATTAATCATTACTATGAAACAAAAAAAAAAACAACGCAACAAGGAGTTAATTTATTATGTTTGTTGCTTACTTTATGCCAGCAGTTGACCTCCATCATTGAACAGCCTGTCTGTCTTCTCAGGAGAAAAAAAAATTGAAGAATGAGAAAAAGTGTTGAGTGCACATTTTCCTTTCTTTCGTTCTTTCTCTCACCTTGTTATTCCAGAGCGACGGCATGCACACATTTTTAGTGAAAGGAAGTATGTCGTCTCTTATTCTCCGTCTTTTTTTTCCTTTGTATTTTTTTCTTTTTTTGCTTTCTACTCTCGTTGATCGTTTAGTTATAACGGTAAAAACTCACCTTCATCATTATTTTCAATTGATGACAGTTGCATTGATGTTGATTGTTTATTGACATCTTGTTCGTTTATAGAATTAATGTTTTCATTATTAGAAACATTTTCATATGAATTTAAATCAATATTTTCATTGCTCAAACTTGAATTTGACAATTCTATAATATAATAAAATAAAGCATATATTTTTGAACTATAATTGTCATCTTATTGTAACCTTGATGTCAACAGCTGTGCACTCTCACATATATACATTTCCTTTTTTGTCTGAGTGAGGAAAAAACAAAAGAAAAAAAAACATCAAGACGGATTACCTTTAAAATTTTTCTCATCTTGTTGTTGCTGTTCATTACTTGGCCATGATTGTGAACGACAATGTAAAAAATTCATTTGATTATTATTATCGGTTTTAATTGAATTTTTTGATATAATTGTTAAAGTTTCATTATTTTTATTATTTTCAATAACAGTTAAAACTTGTGATGATGATGTATCAATTGTATTTGTTGATGTATGTATTGATATGATTGATGATGAACGACTTGTTGATGATGATTGTTGTTGATTTGTTTCAGCAAGAAATGTTGTAAATACTTGATCAATCCAATCACCAAATGTTGATATTTTAACATTCATATCAATTGTATTTGTTTGAGAATATTCTGATGATATTTGTTGTATTTCTAGATTAGGATTATTTATTTCATTATGATCATTATTATTAGTATTATTATTTTCATATTCATTTATATTACTTGTATCATTATTTTGAAATGATAATGATGTATTAAATTCACTTTCAGCTGAATAATAGTGTTCACTTGTATTTGATGGCCCACGTTCACTTGTAATAATCAATGGAAAATCAGTTATAGCTGTTAAAAAACTTTTTCCTTCATTACTCTCCTCAGTTAATGATATTGATTTCTCATTAATGATCGATATAGGTTTAAGTGATAAATCATTGATTTGTGGTGATTCAATATCAAGTAATGAATCATCTGATAAAGCAAATAAATCATTTTGATTTGTTGTTTCTTCTGAATATTGTTCATCAATTTTTGATTGTAATAATTTTTGTTCACTTAATATATCAACACCTGAATCAATTGTATTTTGAGAATATTCCATCGATGTTATTCGTCGACGTGTTGAATTTGTATCAGATTGTTCAGCTTGTAAACGTGCATTTAATTTATCACGATATGTTTGAATTGTTGTCAAGGAACGATCAATATGATCTGAACAATCTAAATTAAATTCATCAACATCTTCATCTGTACTTGCATAGGAATTTAATTTTCGTTTTGGAGAACACGTTGAAGGTTTATTAAGTATTTTTTCATAAGATTGAATTTTGTTTTTTGATGGTGATGATGATGATGACGATGATGATGTTGAAGTATTTTTTTGTATTGGTGATGATGTATTATTTATTTCACGATTGAATATAGTATAATCAGGTAAATTGGAATCATTTTGTTTATTCATTGAGATAGTTTCAAAAACTAAAAAGAATTCAAAATATCCTTGGAATTTTACCTTAACAAACTATGATCAGATTTCTCTTTGTCTATGAATCAGAGATTTATGATATTGTTTTATTAAGTAAATACTAATGTAGAAGATCAATTGACGGAAATCAATAGATTATAGAGAACAATGAATACACGTTTTTCTTGTTTGACGAGCATGGACTAATGATGTAGGATAAATAGCAATAAATTATAAAAACTCTTGATGAATGGTTCATAAAACTCTAATATTTTTTTCCTGTCGTTTTTTATTGTTCATTGTTATTATTGTATACTATTTGTTGTCATAGAGATTTATATCGAGATTTTCTCGAAATTCATTTTGAAAAATTAGATCTGGTTATTCTTTTCTATTAGAAATAAGTCAAAAACACAAAACATCATGTGTCAGGTGCACATTGGTGTTGATATATAATCAAGAAAGGGGAAGCACGAATGAAAGAGTTTGCCATGTTTATGAATTAATTTGCATAAGAAAGAAAAATATAATGAAGAAAAAAAAAATGATTGAAAATAAAATATTTGTTTTTATATGGTAAAATATTTTCTTTTGCTTTAGATTAGATTAAGACTCATGGCTTTAATTATACAGAAAGAGAAACACGAAAAAAAAACAAAACAGAGTATAGATGTCTCGTTAATTATAAACAAAAAGACTGTCATCTGATTTTTAACTTCGATATGTACAATACATTAAATGTTATGTGTGCATAATTTTATTTGGTTAAATGGCTTTTAAGGTATTCGACACAAAAAAAAAATTGAAGAAACTTGTTTATATACGGTTTGATAGAGCGTGACAAGTTAATTCAGAATATGCTTATCTTCACTTTTTAGAATGATTTTTTTCGAGAGAAATTGTCAGTTTTTCAGATTATCTATTTTCCTTAAAAAAAAACAGATCAAATTTTAATAACTGAAAAGTTTTCAAGATTTTCATTTCCTTTTTATTTCAAAACTATTTGTTGAAGACCTAGCGTGAAAAGTTGAATATGAGTAACTCGTTGTTAAATGACTTCCTAGATTCAATTTTTTACGCTACACTTCAAACATACAGATTGAAAAAATTCAAAAGAAATTTACAAAAAAAAATTGACAACCGACCGGTTTTTCAGACGAACTACGTTGTCTGAAAAACTGAAAAATTTTCTCGCAAAAAATCATTCTAAAAAATTGAAAACATATATTCTTTATCCGTATGTCACACTCTATCGAACCATATATAAAAAAAAACCTTCTACGTTAATGTTTCATTTCCGGTACCTTTTTGTAGCAATATGAACCAATAGACTGAATTGTTGCTATGTTACCAAAATTAATCGTATGAATAGCTATATAACTATTCCACGTCAATTAACTAAGCAGATTTTTCATCGTCTAGTTATTTTCTTTTGGCTCAATTTTAGAATATCTCATTTTATTGTTTTTACTCATTTACATTTTTGGTCACCTCCTTTTAGCTGATGTGACTGAACATTAAATAATAACAAATATACGGTGTTAAATGAATTGAACTAAAGGGTGATCGGAAAGTTTCGACCCTTGTCAGTAAATCGATGATATCTACAACAAGCTTCTATGAAGTTATTGATCAAATTATGTCATTTTGTAGAGAAAGGTTAGAGCTATATTCTGAAAAAAAGATAGTTCAAAATACATAAATTCATAACAATGTTATGGTCATTTTACTAATCTTAAGTGAAAATTTTTAAGAGATATGTTTTTCAAAAACAGAAATTGCTTTTAACACCCTAAGTGACATATTGTTTTCTAGATATTTTTATATTGTTCGATAGAGTTCGACAAATTCTACGAGAATATGAATATTTAAAAAAAATCTGATCTTATTTTCAATATAAAACCTGAAGGAAACCAGAAAGACTAATAAAAATTTCATGTATCAAATATTCCCAAGAGTTAACTGAGTTTTGAATAGCTTCAGCTGGTTGAGTGTTTCACCTGCTCATGTAACTCTGAAGTGTTATTTTCAACTGCAGCTTATTACGCTGCATCTCGAAACATCAATTAACAATCGATCCAATAAAGTTATTGAAAGTTAAGCATACTATCTCATGCAGCATATGCGAGATTTTCATTGATCTGCGTGGTTTTCTCCCAGTTTTACATTGAAAACAGAATTCGAATGATTCTTGATATTTATATTCTTGTAGAGCTTATCGAACTCTATCGAATCATATAAAAGTATCTATTAAAAACATGTAGAATATAATATTTTGCTCGACTTTAAGGACTCAAACATTCGAGATTTTTTTTAATTTTTCAAAAAATGTAACTTAAAAATTTTCACTTAAGATTAGTAAAATGACCATAACATTGTTATGAATTTATGTATTTTGAACTATCTTTTTTTCAGAATATAGCTCTAACCTTTCTCTACAAAATGACATAATTTGGTCAATAACTTCATAGAAGCTTGTTGTAGATATCATCGATTTACTGACAAGGGTCGAAACTTTCTGATCGCCCTTTATAAATAACGGGTGCGGCAGAATAAATGGCCCTCTCAGTATTTTAACTAAAACATTTTTTCTTTTTGTCCTTTAGAGCTGATTGTTTTTCCAAAAGATGCGCCGTTAAATTCTCTACAAAATCATAATCAAACTTATTTTTGTAGAAAGTGAAGAAAGCAAATTAAGCGAAAATTATTCAACACATAAAAAATATCTAACTTTCCAAACTATTTGATGTTGCATAATGAATGGCCAGTATTTTGGCGTTTGCGTCTCTTTTTTTACCATCTAGCATGTCTATTTTGAAACTAATGTATACCATAAGATGCAGCTTGAAAAGCTCTACAAGTTACATTTAAAATCTTATTTTATATATGTATTCTTTGTTTATAAAATGGACGAAATTCTGTACGACCAATTTTCGATGCTGCAAACAGGATCATTTGTTGGTCGCACAATATTTTGCTTATTTTAGAAACAAAAGGTGTACATATACAAAATAAATTGTTCTTTGTAAATTGTAGAGCTTTTCGCGCTGCATTTTGTGGCATATTTTGTTTTCTTTTATTGAAGCCTATTAAGTGATAAAAAGATGAATTAAGAAAAAACGAATTCGTAGTGTAACAAAAAATGATCTTGTTTGGAGCGTCAAAAATTGGGCGCACAGAATTTTGTCCATTTTATAAACAAAGAATGCATATATAAAATAAGATTTTTAATGTAACTTGTAGAGCTTTTCAAGCTGCAAATTATGGTATACTTTGTCTTTAAAATAAACATGCTGAATAATAAAAAAAAGTGATACAAACATCAGCCATTCATTATGGAACATCCAATAGCTTGGAAAGTGGGGTCATTTTTATGTGCTATATTATCTCCTTTTAATGGTTTTCCCATAAATTTCTACAAAAATAAGTTTGATTATGATTTTGTAGAGAATTTAACGGCGCGTCTTTTGGAAAAACAATCAGCTCTAAAGAACAAAAAGCAAAAAAGTTATAATTAAAATACTAAGAGGGCCATTTATTTTGCCGCACCCGTTATTATGTCAGATAGAAATTGTTTTATAAATTTCATTTTAATCTTTTTTTTTCTTCATACCTTCATGTAAATGTGTATTAGTTGTACGTTGAAGAATTGGTGGTGCTGATCGATTATGTTGTTCACTTGACGATCCTGTATCTGTTGTACTATCTGATGTTTGTTGTTGTTGTTGTTGTTGTTGTGTTCGTTGTTTTGTTATAAGACGATTATCTTTTTGTAATTGATCAGCACTATACCATTTAAGATTTGAATACCTTAATTGTTTACCATCACCTTCAATGTTCCATTGTGTATTTTGACATTGATTTAATAAAGATGGTTGACGATGTTGAGTTGTTGTTATTGATATAATATGTCCATTTGAATTTGTTGTTTGTGTTATATCATTTGTTTGATTATCTAATGTTGGTATCAGTAAATTTGTTGCTGAACCAATATGATTTTGACATGATGATGCTAATATGGAATCTGTTGTTGTTTCCATATTTTGCCAATAATCAATTTTACTACGTTGTAACATAATATGACGTGATGATATTGGTATTAAACGTTTATTATGATCAATAATAGGTGGTACTTGTTCAACAGAATATTTTGGATAATGATTTAAATCATTATCGAATTTTTTAGAATAACTACTTTTCCAAACATATGTTATTGTTTTTGTTAAACCAAATGAATTTATTGGACGATTGGAATTTTTTAATTCAATTAAATAGACTGATGGTGATTTAATTGCTGATGATCCTGAAAGAGTTTCTAGATGAGAAGATGAATCTTTTTTAGGTTCATATATTGAATTTAAATATTGATTTTGAAATAATTGTTCGCTTTTTTCAGATAATGAGTCATCTGATAACGAAGGATATTGTGGTGCAGCTGTTGTTGCTATCCGAGAAGGTGAAGCTAATCTATATGGACGAGATTTTTTTTTTAATTCAGTTGAGGATGAACAATTATTTGAATATGAAGATGTTGTTGATGATGATGAAGAAGAAGAAGAAATTGTCGATGACAAATCGTTAATAGGTGATGATAAGGTTCCTGTTGCTTTTGATTTTGAATGACGACCTATATATTGAAAAACAAAATCAATGATTAAACTCGCATCAGAAAAAAACCTTGGCCAAAGTTATGATGAAATAGAAAAAAAAATCGAAGAACGCTTAATCTAGTTTCATGTATAGTATGATAATAATGATAGTCAAATAGATACATATTAAGGATATACTGTCAATGTAATAATCAATATTCGTCATTCAATTCAGGGTTATAAGGTAATAGCTACAAATATGTGCAGTTTAATAAAAATCGTTTTTGATCTAGCAATTATCGAAAAGAAAATAGTAGAAATAACTAGACAAGTTAACGAATGAATTATATAGCCTTGATTTTTGATTTCTTTTGTTGTCTTACATCATTGTTCAGTCGATTGGATTTA